AAATTGGCCTGTTTGATTTCCAAAGCTTGCCTAGGTATTTTTTTCCTTGGTGGTAGTATCATGGCTAACTTGCTTTCTTCAGCCACATTATAATCTATTACATATATGGAAGCAAATTGTATTGTTTATATTATTTTACACTTCTGCTACTGTTTAGTTTGCAATATTAATATTTGGATTGAGAGTAGCTGGGTATTTTTAATTTAATAGAACATTGGTGAACAATGTGTCATAAAACAAAGGGTAACTACTTTGTAGTATTGCATGTTGTTTTAATAAGGGGGAAGCAAAAATGAAAATGAAGATGGCACTGTAAGTGAACTTGACATGTAACAAGATTGCTCTTATAAAAGCTGCTATGTTATTTTAAGAGCCATTTACAGCATTTATAAACCTTTTATTATTGGCAGTAACTACAGTGGAATTCTCATTCCAAAATACAGAAGTATAATAACTGTTTGGATTATTAATTAAAGAAGCAGCACACTATTTAAGACATTTTAGAATTGGTGTCAAGCAACAATGAAATTATGTGGGAAATGGGGCATCTCATACACCTGGTAGATATAGAAGATTGCATATTAAACGCCAAATTCTATTTTTAAAAACCTGAGCAATGTTTACATTAGAGGTAAGCCAAAATTAGATTTGAAGCAGGCAGAGGTGCTTCAGAATCGATGTGGGCATTCTGTGTCTCTGCAGCTCCTTAGAATTGGTACCTTTTCCTGAGCTTCTCCTCCATTAGATGTTTTGGTTTGTGTCCATCCCTTTGCATCATAGGAGATCAGTTCAGAAATACTATTATAACTGTATAAAGCAAAGAATGAAAAAAGACTGTGGCAAAAGAAAGCAAAGGTGATGCAAATAGTAATAGACATCTTGGGTGTAATCTCTAAACATCTGAATACTTTTATAGACATTTCTGTTGCTAGGTGAAATATCACATACGCACCATTTAACAACAGCAATTTTGGTAGTACCAGAAATGGGTGTTCAGTCATAACATAACATGGAGGATTGGGCATAAGTATTTATTATGACCCAGGACTCAGATTGAGACTGCATTTGAATTTGAAGAAACTGCTTCAGCGGAACCAGTGGATTGTCAGAGACATAAAGGTAAGAATCATCTGAGGCTGATCAAACACATACATCACCTGAACAGCAGGAGCAGTCAGTTGATATGTCAGGTTTTCCAGCCCTCACACCCAGTGAGTAGAGCAAAAATCAGGACAAAGACATTCTGTGAGGCTTCTTACCAAGCGAGGTAGTAAATCAAAACAGCTGACTACCACCTGATTTAAGCTGCATCCCTCTTAACACTTGTTGGAATCAACTATCTGATCACTGGCTCTTGTGTGACATAGTGTGAATTCTGCTTGTGAAATTCTGACCGTCAGATAACCCTGACTTGGAACTTGCAACCCTGGACTATATTTTGACTATTCTGCATGCCTATTAAAAGCAAATCATTTGGACAAACTTCTTTCATACACTGTGTTTGTGCTGCATTTCTTCTCTGCTGTTATTTCCTTGACCTTGAGTAAACTACTAATGTCCTTAGAAACTCAGTGTGGGAGTGTATAACTGAAACCAGAGGCAGGATATTACCATTCATTCAGTACTGTCATAGCTTCAAACGGTTGCTGAACAATTGTCATTAAGAACTTCCTGTAATTGTCTATGTTTTGGTCATGGCAAACTCTCACACTTACAGTGAAAACATCTTAGAAACAACCAGCAGACTATTACAACCATACAAATATCGCCATCATATACAAAGAATAAAAATTCTTTTAAATAATAAAATTAGCTTCCTTTAAAAATTCTGCTTGATCAATAATTTTATTTGATACATTTTTGGAAAAATAAACCATCCATCAGTCTCCTGCTTTATTAATAAAGATAATTTTTGCTTCCTAATTGTCATTCCTGTGGGGAAAAATTAAGTTATGGAGGACTTTATCTTTCATTTACACAGCTGGGTATTTGACAGAGCTTTAATGAAATATCTCTTTTTAATTTGGCAGATATTATTCTAGGAAAATTATTACAATAGAGATGGAACTCATTATCTGTGGAAGACATTTTCACCACTTTGATCTCCCACATTTTGACTCTAATCTTAATTACCCATACATAGAAATCCATTTGATATTAAGCTCTAATCTGACTCCAGTCCTGAATCAAATGATATCAGTGACTGCTATTGAGGCAATTTATGTCTGTATTTAATATGCACCCTACCATTAATCCATCTTTATATGGGAAGCACAAGAGTGCGGGTCTGTTGTAATTGTTTCAGGTAATTCAGCTCCATTTAAGAATACCCTCTGTAGCAGCCACATGTATAAAGGGAGCTATTCATTTGTAATGACTCATGGAAACATGTATCATTGGGGCAAATAAAGTTGACCTTACTACATAGCCTGCCTTTAAAAATGATTGGCTTTTCTATGTGAACATCAGTGACACAGAGTAGAGATGTTCAATCATCTGAAATGACCTTTTAAAACAGTGACATTTTCTTTACTAATGTATTAGACTTTTGATTGTGAATAGTACAGAAATTTCATTCTCCAGTTAGGATAGGGCTAAAGAATTTGTTCAGTATCTGCAGGATAAAATCATTCAGA